AAAAAAAAAAAAAAAAAAAAAAAAAAAGAAAAAAAAAACGTGCCTGAAAATGCAGCTGCTTTTAACTTATCAAATATTCTCTACGAGATCCTTATGAAATAAAGGAGCCTTAATTGAATCTTCGTTACTAACTTCACATCAAAAACTACCAATTCGAGTACCAATAATAATGTAAGTCGGAGATCTAGTCCCATACTTTAAGCGTAGGTAATCTCCGCAGGGACATTTGGAAAAAAGTGTAGAATGAGAATAGAACGTGTAATAACCCTTACATTTGGGTTACACGTATGACGTTTAAGTGCTGCGTCCTCTGAATTCAAAAATTTTTATCAACGGTGGCATTTTAGTTTCTTGACATTCGTTTTAGATAAAAAAACACGGATAACAGTTGTCCAAAAGAAATGTAAAATCAAGTGTTATCAGGAAAGTAACTCTGCGGGGAAGGAAATAGGCAATTCTATATATTTGTGTATCTGTATACTGAATTAAGCCAAGTGGCTTCTGCCAAAAATAAACCTGTGCTGCAATTGACGATGATGGTTCATCAAATAAGCGCCATAATCTAGGTTTTAACTTCTGCCAAAAAGAAAGCCTTCCCTGATGATAATCTTCTTCCCATCCAAATCTGAAAACTTTTAAATTTAATGCAGAAAAAAGTGTTTTTTGTTCTTTTTAAGATAAATTGATACGGAAAGAATTGTTGTCTCTGTGGTTTCGCTTAAAAAGCAAAATGTAAAAACGTTTGCTACCTATAAATGAATATATTTTTTATCATACCGTTTATAGATCTCTTCTGGATTATTCATCCTTTCTTCATCAATGTCAATATCCAATTTATCTAAATTTGAAAGCACCTCTTGCGTATCTCTATGTTGCGTATACGTCATCCAACAACATGGTTCAACTTCGTTTGCATCCAAACCCCAATACTAAAAAAAGCTTTTTTCTTTATTTCCCTTTAAAATAGGCATATTGGTAATTGGCTTTTTGTTTTTTTTTTTTTGTTATAATGCGTAGATGACTAAAGATTTTAGTACTTCCCAAAGAGGTGTTTCTGTATGGGTGACAGTGAAAAGTAGGCGCAGTTTCACTAATGAAAAGTGGGTTGATTTGTAATTGATGGCTTTCTCGTGAATTTTATTTTTTGGAGTTTTCTAAGTAAAAGGATTGCTTGGAAAAAGATTGTCTTTGAACTTAGGCATAAAGCCTGCTGTTAACTGTTCCTTTCCGCTACATTTCTGCTTTATTTTTGTCTTTTTTGTTTGCTTCTGCATTCGTTTTTAACCTTCTTTTCTTTATAGCGCAAAAGGACAATTTCCTGTTGATTTCTGTTTTGTTGGGAATTGCAAAAGAAATAGTACTGTATACCACTGTACCCGATCGTGATATTAACAAAAAATTCAAAAAAAATTTTCGTTGTAAGAATTGAAGAGTTTATATACGCGGTTATACTGCTTTCATTCTACGTTTCAAACCACCCACTTACCGATCTTAAAATAAACCCTGCGTGATTTAAAATATGCAAAAATTACCTACGATAATTTTTTAATGATTAATCAAAAAATGTTTTAGAGTGATAGAATCTTACCACTGCAGTCGTATGGGCATTTTCGTATTGGTTCTTAGTGCCCTTGTTTTGGTGAATAATTTTTAATCAGTATAAAGTTAGGAGTTTTTGAAACAAGAAAACAAAAAGTTGGCTATTATTCTAAAAATTGACTTAATGGAACTGCAGAATAATTGATGAATGGGAATAAATGCTTACTTTAAGTTCTTCCTCAAATAGCGGTCCACAAACATCCAGTGGATAATGCAATTTCCCAGTTCTATAATAGTTTAATATTTGAGCAAATACTCCTGGATGTCGATCAAAAAAGTATTCGTTGAGCACTGGATCATAGTTGGTTGTCGACAAGGTTAAACGACTTAATCGGGTGGCTGGAATCTTCTTTAATGTGTGCTTGTAGGTTTCGTGTCTTACCCCGCCAACATTCAATATGACACGATACTCACTATCCATTGCCACGTCCGAAACCTGAATGAAAGAAGAAGAATACTAGTTGCGGTTTTACTTCCACAATAGATGTGGTAGGAAGAGAGGATAACAATAGAATAGGACAAAAATTTTTGATAGGTTTAGTCAATGTTTTATTGGGAGTATGAAGGAGACGAGAATCATTGTAAAAGTATGGTCAACAAGAAAATATGAGTGCAACTTTTTCTGTTTCTTTTTCCTTATTTTTCGTCAGTAAATAAAGAAGCAACCTGGTGATTAAAACTTGTTGCAAAACAAAAGACGGGCAGAAAAAGCGGTGAAAAAGTCGCCAAAACTTATAAAAGGCGAAAAAAAAAAACAAATGGGAACAAAACCACAAATTATACTTTAATTTTCGCTATTTGTTTTGTTTTTCTTTCTT